GAACTTCCATTCAATAGTATATCATCAACATATAAACATACCAGAGTCATATTGCCTTCAGAAGTATGTTGAACATAGACACCGTACTCCATCTCACATTTCTGAAAGCCTTGCTTCTTGAAAAATGAATCAATCTTCTGATTCCAAGCTCTGGGCGCTTGTTTCAATCCATATAGAGCTTTGTATAATTTGTACACCATCCCTTCCTGATTCTTTTTCACAAATCCAGGAGGTTGTGACACGTAAACTTCTTCTTCTAATGGACCATTCAGAAATGCAGATTTTACATCTAAATGCATCAGAGGCCAATTCCTGTTAGCAGCTATTGCAATCACCATTCTGATTGTTTCATGTCTTGCTACAGGTACAAACACTTCAGAATAATCCAGCCCAGGTTTCTGTAGAAATCCTCTGGCTACCAACCTTGCTTTATGTTTGCCAATTGAGCCATCTGGCTTTAACTTCTGCTTGAAAACCCATCTGACGCTGATGGCTTTCTTGTCTTTTGGAAGTTCTGTCAGCTTCCAAGTCTTGTTTCTCTCTATAGCATCAAGTTCTTCTTTCATGGCCTTCAGCCAGAGCTTCTGCTTAAGAGCCTCCTCTGTACTTATAGGTTCAGAGTCTACTAACATGGCACACTGAATAACTTCTCCTTCAGAGTCTACTTCAGTGTCTTGCAGCATGTCAAATTCTGCAAATCTTCTGGGAACGCTTCTGATTCTTTGTGGTCTCTGAACTTGTTCAGAGTCTTGAGCTTCAGAGTTTCTAGCTTCAGATGATTGACCTCCAGAGCTTTGACCATCTTCAGAGTCTGGCATATTTCCAGAGTCTGAATTGCCACCAAGATCTGGATTGCCATCAGAGTCTGAATCATCAGAGTCTGGGTCATCTGGGTCACCTTCATCTTCTGAGTCTTCTTCAGAGTTTGAATCAGTATCAGAGTCAGAGTCAATATCAGGGTTTACTTCAACTTCAGAAATTCTTAACTCTGGCCTTTCTTCAGAGGTTCTAACATCAGAATCAGATTGAGACTTATCCCAATTCCAAACTTCTGATTCCTTCACAATCACATCTCTGCTGAATTCAATTTTATTGGTTTCTGGACAATAGAGCTTGTATGCACCTGTACTGTGGTACCCTATCAGAATCATCACTTTGCTTCTATCATCCAGCTTCTGTCTTCTGGCTTCTGGAACATGTTTATAGCAAACAGAACCAAATACCTTCAGATGACTAACACTTTGCTTGTCTCCAGTCCACTTCTGCATAGGAACTATTTCCTTCAACTTCTTCGTAGGACATCTGTTGAGTACATACGTTGCAGTGGCAACAGCTTCTCCCCAGAGCTTCTGAGGAAGCTTCTTCTCCTTTAGCATGCTTCTCACCATATCAAGCAAAGTACGGTTTCTTCTTTCAGCAAGACCATTGTGTTGAGGGGTATAAGGAGCAGTAACCTCATGCTCAATTCCATTCTCCTCACAGAACTTCTGGAACTCTTTGGAGTTATACTCACCTCCACCATCAGTTCTAAGAATCTTCAACTTCTGACCACTCTGATTCTCAGCCTTCATTCTGAACTTCTTGAATTCATCAAACACCTCGTGTTTGAACTTAATAAGGGATATCCATGTCATTCTTGTGAATTCATCAACAAACAACACAAAGTATTTATTCCCTCCAATTGATGCTACTGGAAATGGACCACACACATCAGAGTGTACAACTCCCAAGGCATGTTTTGCTCTTGGAGCAACTTCTGATGCAAATGGCAATCTTGGTTGTTTTCCTTCCATGCAAACTTTGCATGACTTTTCAGGCTTCTTAATTGCAGGAATTCCATGTACCAATTTCTTTGAATTCAGATGTTGTAAGCTTCTGAAATTCAAATGACCAAATCTTCTGTGCCACAGCTCACTCTCCTTCTCAGTACTTGTTGCACTAAGACACTCTGAGTCTGCAGTTCTGACATTCACCTTGAATGTTCTATTCCTTCCCTGTTCTGACTCCATTATCAACTTCTGATTACAGTCATACAACTTCAGAAGATTGTCCTTCATGGTAACTGAGAAACCTTTCTCAATTAATTGTCCCACACTCATCAGATTGCTTCTGATGCCAGGTACATACCACACATTCTGAATCAATGCTATTTTCCCATTGTTCAGAGTCACTCTGACATTTCCCATACCTTCTGCATTAAGATATTTGTCATCAGCACATCTGATCTTTGTTCTCTTTTCAGAGTCAAAGTCAACCAGCCATTTCTTGTTTCCAGTAAGATGATTTGAACAGCCAGTGTCCATATACCACCAGTCTGTCAGATCATCAGATTCAGAGGCCATCAGTAGCACAGATTCGTCATCAGAACTTCTGGCTATATTTGCTTCTTCTGATTTCTTCTCCTTGTTTGACCAACAATCTCTAGCAAAGTGACCAAACTTCTTACAACAGTAACATTGGATCTTCTTCTTGTCATACTTCTCTTTTCCCTTCTGAGCATTCTTTTGTCTATCAGAGGTTGAGGTTTCTGACTTCTGACCATCATCAGATCTTCTCTTGGCTTCTGACTGCTTCTGATACCTCCTATCAGAAGTTGCTTTCAGAGCCTGCTGCTCTACTTCCCTTTCAGAAGTTCTCTCAGTCAAACGCAACTCTTGCGCTTCTAAACTGCTCTGCAGCTCTTCAATTCTCATTGTGCTCAGATCTTTGGAATGTTCTATTGCTACCACAATGTAATCAAATTGAGGAGTAAGGGATCTCAACACTTTCTCCATGATTGTTTCTTCAGAAAGAGTTTCTCCACATGCCTTCATCTCATTAGTGATCAGAATCACTCTGGAGATGTATTCAGAAACTTTCTCATTATTCTTCATGTTGAGATTCTCATATTGCTTTCTCAAGGACTGAAGCTTCACCTTCTTCACTGATGCGTCACCACCATAACATCTCACCAGAGTGTCCCATGCAGCCTTTGCTGTTGTAGAGTCTGCAATCTTCTCAAACACGTTTACATCCACACATTGATGGATGAAGAACAATGCTTTCTGATCCTTCTTCCTTACTTCCTTCTGCGCGTTTTTCTGTTCATCAGTTGCATCTGCTGCTACTGGAACATAACCATCAGTGACAAGATCTAGAACATCTTGAGCACCAAATAGTACACGCATTTGGATCATCCAACGATTCCAGTTTTTACCATCAAATACTGGAAGTTTGGTGTTCATGTTGCCGTTTCCGTTCATCTTCTACTTTGCACAATACACTCAGAGTTTTCTCACACAGTGTTTCCCAACCCACAGAATTAAAAAATTCTGATCAGATTTTGTTCAAGATTCAACACGAATCTAAGAATCAAAATCAAACACACAAGACCTCACGTTCACTCGTGTTTCCCGTGTTTCCCAATGAATCTGAACCGGAGCTCTAGATACCAATTGTTGGTGCAAAGATAGAATAAATGATGAAATAGGGAAATATTCTATTAAAGAGAATGACGGCAGAAGAAACAGGATTAAGAGTTACAATGATTGTCACCCTATTTATAAGCTAAAACTAGGGTTACTAGAATAAGATAAAATACTAAAATACCCTCTAACAAACTTATGGGCTTAAGAAAATAATATAATAAAATATGAATTATTACTAATATTTAATACACTAAATTCACATGCAAAAATGAGAATTCCAAAATGTTTAGAACTAAATTCATTATAAGAATGAAACCAGTGGACTTAACCACATATATAGTCACTATCCCCTGAATCAATGATAAAGAAACCAAGAGTGCATTCATGTAATGAAAAAAGAGTGTTATTGTCCGTACCTACTAATAGATAGCCAATAGTTAAGAATGAGCCTACCTGATTGAAGATGCTACACTAGCAGCTTGGCCAAGGGTAGAATTTTGAAGTAGATTCAACAGAACTTCATATTGGTCTTGAGTAAGAAATTTTGTGAAAATAATCTTGTTGATTGGAGGTAAATGATAAATTAGAAGAAATTAGAAGGATGTGTGACTACTTAACAAGTCTTTTCCATTCAAACCAGTTAAAAATCAAATTACATGCGAAACCAGACCCCCTGTGAGAATCTCTCTTTGAGATCATTTCGTATATCAAAGGCTTTTTCCATGAACACTATGGATTGGGCCATAAATTCAGATACTGAATTCATGATCAAAGAGTGAACTAGCATGTTACAAAGATTTCAAACGCAATATGATGGATCAAAGGTATCGATGGGGATTGAAATGCTACTGTCGATGAATTCCAACTTCAATTTTCCACCAATAGCTTGTTGCATGGATGGAGCCCAAGAATGGTAGTTGGAATCAATTAATTTCAGTGTAACATAAATCAATGCATGTCCATCGTCGAGATGGACAAAAAATGAAGTAGATTGATTCAAAATTGGTTCTGTCGGTGGAGAACTAGGGGACGATGCATAAATGGGAGTAAGGACTAGGGCTGTTCATGGTATGGTTAGTGGGAAAACTAAACTTAACCTAACCAAACCATAGAAAAAATGTACTCTAACTGAACAAACTGTTTCAATTTACTCAAAACTGAACTGAACCATAATCATTGGTTTTTGGCTAGACTTATACAGAAGATAACAAAATTTTCTCTGCTTCAGAAGCTGCTTTTGGATTCAGTGAATGACCAAGTGCATATCCTAATACATTACCTGCAATAATTGATTTTGCAACTGCCAGTTAGTGAAAGTTTTTCCTCCTTATAAAACTATTAGGGGGAAATGTTCTATTCTTATAAATCCATAGAAAGAATATGAATGTATGGATTCTTGCATAATTTCCAGATACTGATATGATTTAACTTAATGACACAGTTTTCCAGCTTAAAACAATTATAATAATTTCCAGATACTACATGGTTTAACTTAATGACACAAAGTTCAAGCCAGTAAACAATTATTAAACAATCAAAGAATGAATATTTTATATTATTTCAATTTTGGTTACAATTGTCTTGTATTCTATTTCATTTGACTGTAATCATCTCTAATCCAAATAGCACTCCAGCATGCTTTTGAGCCATGTTATTGACAAAACAAGTATCCATCATTTTCTTAAATACATGCCAGGTCAACAAACTATCAGATCCAGCTTGATGAGATTTTCCAGCTGCCCGATTCACGTTAAGGGTAGTAGCTACCCGCTCGAGACCACCATACAAAGCATTACAGAACTTCATCATGTGTTTCATATCGTACACATTTTTTCCAAACAAGCCTTCTACCATATTTAGAAACCCCTCTAAACGGTTTGGTAAATTGTTTTGTGTTAAGATCTTCACCAAATACCCAAAATCATAAGCGCTGCTAAATGTTACCCAGACAATTGATTGGTTAAAAACAAGTACAGAAGCGAACATTAGTTCAGCAAAACGCACTGAATTCACACCGTGATGGAAATTGCGATTAAAATCAATCCCTTGACGGCGGAGCATAGCAATAGAATCTTGATTATAAAGATCATTATTGACGTCAAAATCACAGAAATTAAATTCCCAGATATAGCTGTTACTACCTCCAAAATTTGGAAGGTTCCCCTTAGAGTCTGACAGTGTGAGACCAACTTGAATGAGTTTAAGAGCATCAACGTTGGCCTTCAAATAACGGTAGTGCTCAGAGGGTGTAAGATAACGGCGGTCGATTTTCGGTAAATGAATTACGCCGGGAAATTCAGTGTCGAGTGAGATGAAAGAGTATTGATGGATAACTTGACGGATGAGACTGAATTCATACTCTAAATTGGATGCCCAGACTTCACGGATAATGATTGATCCTTCCTTCAGCTTGCTCATATTGAATTTCTTGAACACTTGATCTTGAAGTAATTTTGAAGTTGAGTTCAAACTTAGAAGGAGAGAGAAAGCTTTGCAAGTCAATAGTTTGTGATGTTCTGAAATGGGAAGAGATTGGGCTGTTTTATATTGAGAGTAAATACAGAGAAGATATTGCTTGGAAAGTGGGAACGCTAATTGTTTATTTACTGAATTATGGTCAGGAACGTTATTAATGTGTTTATTAAGTCAGTCGAATATGCGTGTGTTTTTTGGTGGCTTTTGTATTCAACTAATCAGTATCCAGTGGAAAGTGCGATGAACGAGGAAGTCAAGTTCGGTGTTCTATGAAAATTCAATGGGTCCACAAACATTGACGGGTTCAATTTTCTTTCATATTTATTATTTACCACTGTCTCTTAAGAATACTCCTCCATTCGTACAATTTTTTATATTGAAAATTCATTTAACAAATACTATATTTTGACTATATATATAAGTTAAGGTGGTGTTTAGGGTGAACCACCAGAACAGTGGTTAACGGTGGACCACAGATAAGAACCGTTGGATTGTATTTCTTTATTAAAGCTTAGGATGAACCCTTTCACACCAAATTGTATTTTTCTTTTCTTTTCTCTCCTTTGTCATTTCTCTGCAAAAAGCAGAATATATTTCTTACCTTAAATATCTCTCACATTCTCTCTATCCAGAATCAAGTCATGGCTGGATCTACTTCAAACCACCATTCTTCCTCAACCAACCCTTTCATCTCTTACATTTGATTGGTATGCAAAAAGGATGTTAACATTTCAAAAACAAACAAAAAATGAATGTTAACGAATGTGTGCATTGATGTTTTACAATGATTAATCAAGTCTCTTACCTAATAATTTATAATTTATGTCTTTAGACCACTTATTTGTTACTTCATTTTATGGATGTCAATGGATAGAAGTTGAACACTATACTATAATTATCTTTCTCAAACTCGCAATTTAAAAAAACTCTTTATCCGAATACATACCCGCGTGAACACTAACATTTGTTCTCGTACCCGTATCTTATGGATACTTAAATACTCATATTCATACTCGTTTTTTCGCATTTCTAATAAAAAATAATCGATCAATTATAATTTATCATGTCATTTTAATTTTTAAATAACATTTAAAAAAATAGAAGATGTTATTGTTGAATAAAGAAATAAACAAACATTTAAATTAAAATGCGTTGAAATTTAATAGGAATTTATTTAATAAAATTTTTAAATTAATGTATGTATATTATAATAAAAATGAAAATATATAAATATATACCGTGCAGGTACGAGGCGGGTTGGTACTAAAATATTTGTACTCGCACATATACCCGTTTATTTTAGTGGGTAATTGTTTGTGCTCGTACCCATTTTGTAAATTTTTATCCTACTTTTTGTGAGTAAATTTTACAAATACTCATTAGGAATGGGTACAATTATCATCCCTACTTCATTTATTCATAAAAGTTATTGTAAGAGATTTCTTTGACCTAAAATACTCCATGCTAATATAGGAAAGTTAGTGGAAGAGGAGAATGACACGTTTGGTAGTTAGTTTGGAGTATTTTAGGTTCAGAGAAATCTATTTTATTCTTTCTTTATGATTCTGAAAATGAGACAGCGATGGACAATGCAAAGTTAGGGTGAAATTGTCAACACAGAATAAAATAGAGAGATTAATATTTAGTGTGGTAATGGTTATTGATATTACATGAATTTATTTATTCTAATGGTTAAAATTAGTGGTACATGAATGAGGGACTTAATTGATCTCTCGTCCTAGAAGACATCTTAAATTAAATAGTTAAATAAGTTTTTGGTCCTTCTAAATATTGCAGATTTCGTTTTTAGTCCCTTCAAAATTTTCCTTCAAGAAAGCGTCCCTTCAAAAAATTTCGTTTGCACAATTGATCTCTAACGTCAAATACAATTAACGGCTGCTTATGTGGCAGGACAGGTGGATTAAATTATTAATTTTTTTACTGAAATGGATTTCATTTACTTAGGTGGCATGATAGGTGTAAAATTACATGGGTTTATAAAAAGCCCTAATCATAATGAAATCCATAATTCATTCACTTCACTTTCACTCTATTCCACTTTGAAGAGGCTTGAATACATGTCGCTACCGCGAAAATAAGGTGCCGGCAAAACAAAAGAGTCGCCACCTTTCGTTATTTATCCCTCAGAACGGGAAAGGAAACGATCGGAGAAACCTGACGAAAAGGTATAAGACAAGGTCATCGCAACCATTGTCTGGGTTCGGGAGTCGGTTACGCAAGGGGAAGGTATTAGCACCCCTCACGTCCATCGTACTCGATGGGATCCACGCTTGTTGTGTTTATCTGACGGGTTTATTTACGATCTACCTATCAAGGCTGGTCTGAAAAGACAAGAAAAATGACTCGGCAAAGCGTCGCGCTTTATGCCTACGTATTCTCATCAGAGAATGAGAAATCAGAGTCAACGTAGTTCGCCTAACTACGGGTAAACGGGGAAGGTGGCTCGCCAATACGTCAGTATTGTGCCTACGTACTCTCAACAGGTATAAGAGATCAGAGCTTACGTAGTTCGGGATAACACGGATTACGGGGATTCAGATTCATCTGTTTTTCCGAGTATGGTTAACAAACAGTTCCAGCAGTTTGGTGTACGCAGCTCGACCCTTGGAGACTTAGGCATTACCGTTTGCGGTAAAACTGAGAGTTAATGACACTCTTTTCTTCAGAAAAGCTTCCTTTGAACTATGGGCCCACGGGGCAAAAAGGTTTGAAGTTTGTTTTCTGTCTTTTACGGAAGAATTGTTTTTTATGGATGTTTGCAACTAATATCACACTAAAGACTATGATCCAAGAGTGAATGCGTCGCATGTCACCCTAAGGGTACCATACTAAACATCCAGACTGTTGAAGAGTGACCCTTCAACAACCCTTTCTCAAATAGCTTAAGGCTCGTAACGTACGACATCAGTTAACCTTTATTACTGTATTTTGATTTGTTTGAAGACAAGAAGAGAGAGGGACAACTATGGGGAGACTATCAACTCCTAATGTTGTCATGCCAAGGATTCATCCTATGGTTGAGGTTTGAAACATGGAACTCCTAGAAGTTATCATGCATAGGTTTCAACCTAAATTTCTAATCATCACTTCCTTATCAAAGGAAGTGAGATTCCTAGGGGATCATGTCAATGATACGGGAACAGATAAAGCATCAGCTTAAACAGTAAACAGTAAACGATTGTAAGTAAAATGCATATATGCAACAACCAATCAGAAGGAGCCAAGCTCAACTTCTAAGAAAACAAGGCACAAAGGCCACAAACCATATAGGCAAGGGAGCTGAGCTCTACCAAATACCAGCAAGCAAAGCCACACAGTAAAAATACAAGCAGAGGGAGAAACTCAACCTCTAATGCAATACAAGCAAGGGGAGAAGCTCGAACCTTAGGATGCTCTTAGGCTTATTCAACTACATGACTTAATCTAAATGCATCACACCAATTAAGTCACATCAATACAGTTGTACAAAAAGAAAACAGACAAACAGGGAAACAGATCAACAGCTTCACAGCAAAGCAATCTTCTGACAACAATCAAGTCCACAGTCTGTAACTGTTCTTCAAGTCCATCATCTTCAAGAGAATGAAAGGGATACTCCATCTTCATGATTTAACAATGCACTTCACCAAGGATGAAGAGAATCAATAAGATGATTATTTGATAATGGGAAGCAGACAGGAAACCCAAGGAATCCCATCTGACACTCAACCAGTCATCAGAGAAAGGCATCCTCAAAAGTTCTACTCATTTTAAATGTCACACATCCCTCCTAAGGAGAGATGGGACTTTTAACATGATGAATTTAAATCATAGGATGGGAATGGAAGGTGAATGAAACCAACCATTACTTGAAGAAAAATCTATTTCTAAAGCTCTCTCCTAAAGCCCTAATATTACAAACTACAAAAAGCTAACAAAAAAGAAGGAAAAGCTCCAATCCAAGCTCCACCAGCCACTTCACACAAGCTTCATCATGTCCATGATATCCTCCAATAAGAACCAGAAGCCCACTATGCAAGGAAGCCCAACTTTGAGTCCATTCCAAATCAATCACCAAAGTTGAAACACCAAATGAACAATCAACTTGAATATTCTATCTAAAATATCAAAACACATTCTAAAAATCTGATTATTTTTCTATGGGAACATGCATTTGCTAATAACCTACAGTTAAAAAATCAGGACCTAATTCAATCTCTAAGTCAACTAATAAAATCCTAAACCTCAAGGTATCACAACTAAACCCTAAAAGGGAGCTCCTAAAGTTCTAGTCCTAAAACAGCACCTAAGTTCATTACAAAAATGTGAGAAAAATTCTAGAAGGAGCATGCATATCTAACCTAATCACAAGCCAAAAATCCAGCCAAGAAACTATACCAATTGCTTAAACAAAATTCAACAAACAGATGAAGCAATTATTACAATTTTTATGTCAATAAAAATGTAGAAAAATCTAATAAAATGAAAGTAAATGCTAATCATGATTTTTTTTATTTCTAAAATTTCTAGGCATATTCAAGATTAAGAGGAAAAAATCTCAAGATTTTATGATCAATTTTCATATTTTTTATGAATTAAAATCAAACAAGCATGAAAACAACAATTAAAAAGAATTGAAAATAAAAGAAATAAAGGGAAGGGTGCAGTCAGCAACAAAATCCAGCTTGAAGCGCTTGGGCCCAGAAAAAGGGGGGTGTCACTAGCAACTGGGCGCTAGGCCCATCTGAGTTTCAACTCAGTCACAAAAATAAAACCAGGGGAGGGTGCACTGAGCAACCAATTCATGTTGTAAAACCATGTTGGGCCTGGATGGGGGTGCCGAAAGCAAAGGATACTATGGCCCAACGCCCTTGAATTCCTTCAGGTTCAATTCAGTTCAAAAAATAAAAGAAAAAGTGGTACGCGTGAGGATCGAACCTACG